CATTCCGTAGGAAGTCTTCTGTTTTATACAGTTAATCTGACACTTGGCAAATCATAGAAGAAATTATATATGAAAATTAGTTTGGTTCCTTGTTGTTCTATTTACTTTGGAGGTCACTTCTCCTTTCCTCTTTATGCAACATAAGCAAAACCCACCAGAGCAGAGCTTTGATCTATAGGCAGTCACGAACCTCATTAAAACTGACAGGCACTCTGGCCATGCTTTGTTCAGGAAGGAGCAATTAAGTTCTTTCAGGGCATAAGATAGCTAAAACCTAGAAACCCCCGCCCACGGTACAGGGCTACATGGGCAAGTGCTAAGATGAGCTGACTCGTATGAGCAAGCACCAATTTGGAGAAAGTCAGAGAGACTTTTCTAGGGACTGCTTGCGAACGCAGCAGCTAGAGCACAGATTGGTTGCAGCTGTGTTTGCCTGTGTGCATGTCTGGGACCGGAAACACCACGCAAGAGCCAGCAGACAGTGGGAGAAGCAGTGGTGTATGGCCCTGAGAAAAAGCCAAGGGACAGCTTCTGGGCAAGCATCCTGGCTAGAGCAGCAAACTTGGACTGCCGCACAGTACTCCCTCCCATTTGCTTCCTCTGCGTGCAAGGAAATGGGACGTGGCTGTACATTCTTTGTAAATAAATAAGATTTTGCTAAGGAGCTAACTGAATTCGTCATCGATCCCCTCCACCCCCCTCTGCAGGAAAATTTGGCAAAGTGCTGAATATTAGTTAGCTGTGTGGTGAAAGTTCCATGAGTAAAACTATAGAGCTTCTTATTACTGCTAAAATAGTCACCAGAGACCCTGCAGGTATCAAGGCAGTCTCTGAAATTCAGACCTCAAAACAGCAGTTGATAATTTCAATCGCTGATGATCCTTCATGGATTTTAATGCCTGGTATTTCTACAACACATATTAAAAGTAGCTTTTATGGAACAATAACAAGAAATTGCTTTCTCTGATCCCTCATTTGGAATGTTTAATGAAGTCCAGATGTATCTGTTGAAAAGAAAGGTAGTCAGATGCGATATAGCTGTGAAATGTTTATATATTAGTAAGGTATTTGATACACAGAGCTGTTTTGAATAGTTTCTTTATTTGTGTTATTTTACAGTGTCTTCTTATTGTGCTGCTATTGGCATCAAAGCTCTTGCAGATTTATGTTCATTTTTAGGTACCCACAGCAACTACATTGTCCACCTCAAATTGAGGGTATGCTCCCCCCAGCACAGCTGAATAAAGCAGTGTCCTTCCAGAAGTCTCTGTCCTGATGCTGGAGTGTACTGTCTGTGTGCTCTGATACCTCTGTAACAGGACATGAAGCCTTAGCCTCCTTCAGTGGGCAGTAAAAGGCAGGTTCGCAGCCAAGAATGAGACTGTAAAATTCCCTCAACTCACCTCCTTTCCTTGGAGTTTCACCCTAGGAGACAATTGCAATCTGACAGGTCTTCGGTAGCACGACTTCAGAGATGCCTTACTGATGGGGAATACAAACTTGGGAGAAAGAAAAGGCAGCTTTTCATTCCAGCTACATTTATCAAATCGGTTCTTCTCCAGCACAGCAGAGCAGGTGCCTGGGGCCTGGAATGAGCAGCTGGTGTGGGCAAAGGGCAAGGCTGTGTTACTTTTGGCAGTAGCGCTGGCAATAGCTGGCTGGAAGCATTTGGGAAACTATGGCCTGTGGGGACACTTCTGGTTTATGCTGATGTGTATGCAGACTGCCACCAAAACAGGCCCTCTTTCTGGCTCATCCTGGCACTGGTGTTTGTTCGGCTATGGGATCAGCTGGCTGCCAAAATTGATCCTCCTGAAAACTTTTGTTTTTTTGGTAAATTGGATTAGCTTTCAGCTCTGTTGGCAAGTGTATCTGGCCTAACGTGTGGCTGCACGAATGTTGGAGCCAGCAGAGAGGAGGCATCAGGAAAGCATGACTAAGGGAAGGGGAAAGGGTGGAATGATCACTTTTGCCAGTAGCACAGTCTCATCTTGGCTTAACCTGGCAAGAATCTGCCTGTCAGGGTAGAATTACCTGTTACAGCTTGAGTCACATTAATGGCTTGCTTCCATGGAAAGGGAAAAATCTTGTTCCTCTTTTCCCTACTCCTCTGATGTTAGACCTGATGATTGTCTAATCTTGCACTGAACTGGTTTAACTCGTTGAATCAGCAGAAAACTCACCTTGGGAAAGAAAAGGGAATAGCGTTCTGCTTGGCTTAGTGGGTAGAATCAACTCAGTGGAGCATCTGTGGAACCTGGCAAAGCTGGTTCAGGCAAGGAGAGCAGGAGCTGTCAGCTCTAAAGTTGCTGACTGAACAGAGCTTCAGAGCTTCAGTCTCAGAAATCTGTTAAAACACTTACTAGAAGAGCTGTGATCTGGGTTCTCTGTAATGTAAAGATGACAATAGGCAATATCACTTTGTCTTACAACAAACATGGTGTTTGTCTTGAAAAGCTGGAAGTTGACACTATTTTATAATTCATTCCAAATTTCTGCCCCTGTATTTTTCAACGCTCCCATGGCTAAGTGACATTTATCCTAACACTTCCCTTCAAGCTGGGCCTCTCCTTTGAGCTTAGCTTTCGCTTGGGTTTGTTTCTGTATTAGATAGGGAAATACTGCCACAGATATACTAATGCTCTTTTCCATCAGCCAGAACTTTCCTCTGAAGTTTCAACAAATGGCCTTTGATGCTGCTGTGGGAAGACACTGTGCTCTCAAATGCAGGAATGCAAGCTTATAAACAAGCTGCTGTTGAAATTGCTGCTATTGAAGCAACAAAGAGTTCAGAGGAGGACACTTAAGTATGGTGCTGGCTAGACAGTGTTTCTGTGCACCAAGCACAGAAATCCCGTGCTGTGTTTGCCCAGAAGTTTAAGCTTTCATCTTTGACAGAAGAAATCCCAGACCATTTTATAGGTGTACCTAATGAAGAGGAGATATCCCAGGTGGGCAGGTGTCTACTCTTACATTCATACAGCTCCTTCTTCATTTATCAGGAGACAGAGTAGGACCAGCCCAAAGAATTATGGAGAATAAAATGTACTTTAAAAAAAATCAGGAAAAAAAGTTATATATGAAATATATGAACTTAATAATGAGAGAAATCTAAAATGCCATGTTGTTGTTAGTCTTTAACCTTATGATTAATCCTTAACCATAAAATTACAGAGAAGATTAGTAAAACTCAGGAATTCTTGATATAAAAGTGGCTGTTGGGAAAGTGTAGACAAGGGATTACTCGGCAAACATAAGTGTGCAAGCATTGGGATGCAAACTTGAATGCAATTTGGGTGGCTGAGGAATGGACTGAGCTATCACTTTTCAGAAACTATCTGGAATTACTTGCTTTTAATAAATGGCAGATAAGATGCTGGACAGTTAAGAAGGCATAAGCAGGACACTGAAATGTGCCTGAAGGTCTTGATTGTTTTGTGTAGCAACTCTACCTCCTGGGGCCGCTCTCCAGTAGATAGTGGGTGAAATGCCCAAGTGTGTGAGCACTCTAAAGGAGATTTTCAAAAATGCTTGTCCTTGGTCAAACTGTTCCCACTGAGTCCAGCTGAGCAGGCAGGCCAGCTTGCGTGGAGGCAGCAAGGAGGGAAGTGAGGAAGAGGAGAGATCTTCCTCTTCTGGCTGCAGTAAATTGGGGAAGCATAGCCTCGGCATGTTATTGAATGGCTTTTAAGATATGGATTCCTAAATAATCAGAAGAAAGATGTCAGATGCACAAGGAAGCTTTATTTGATAGAAGTACAGTCTGGCCTGTGATGTCACTTGTGTAGTCATTGAGGGGAATGCTCTCCCCTGTGCTGATGAGTGATGTGACTGCAGTGGGTGCAGAGTAGGGGAGTGAAGGGATGCAGCAGGCAAAGTACATGCATTTTGGAACAGTTTTGATGTAGACTTTCACCAAGTCCAACTTGAAAGTAAGTTCAGTTTGGCTTTGATGCGAGACCTGTTATATTGACTGAGAACTAACAGAAGGACTGCAAAAAAGATACAAATCAAAAAGGTTCTCTGCAGTTTCAGCAGTTTCAGACACGGTTTCGTAGTCCTGTAACTAGAAGGTCTTCCCCAGGTGGAGGTGGGATCCCTCCTGCTCCCTCTCCGCGGGGCTGGTCAGAAGACCTGCAGAGGTTTGACAGGCCACATTACTCTCCAACAGATTCGCCAGCAGGAAATGGTACAACCAGTGCGTTAAAGCAAAAAGGAATGAGTCTCCGTCCTATTACGAAGCGCATAAGGAAATCTGTCTGAAGTGATTGTTATTTTAATAAGTGCTTTCAGGAGGTGGAAGATGCTCAGCGGGATTGCCACCCAGCAGCGCCCTTCCTTAGGCTGTGCAACGTGTGCCTGTGAGAAGCATCCTGAAGTGTAATTAGAGAGTTAATAAACATCTGACACCCGTATATATATCTCGGCGGAGGAACAGGCTGCAGCCTCGGCAAGCGGCATCTCCCCGCCAGCCCTCTCTCCTGGTAGCCCCGGGGGCTTTCCGCGCCGCTCGCGGGCAAGCCAAGGGGGAAGAGCCGCAGCACCTCCTGCCCCGGGGCTGGATCGGCGGCCGCGGGCCAAGGTGGGTGGAACGGCGGGGCAGCAGCTCCCGACCGATCGCTCCCGGGGGCCGGAGCGGGGGCCGGGCGGGCGGAGCGGCGGGCCCGGAAGAGGGGGAGCGGCGCCGGGCGGGGCGGGGGCCTGAGGCGGCCGCTGCCCCACGCTGTCCGCGACCCCGGCCGGCCATGGTGAGTAGTGGGGCCCGGGCAAGGCAGGACGGGCGGGCGCGGCCGGGGGCGCGCAGGCCGCGGCTTTGTGAGAGCGGCGGCAGCGCCCGGCCCGGGGCCGCGCCGCGATCGCGGCCGGTTCCGCCGGCAGCCGCCCCCCCCGTGAGCCCCACTGTGTTTGGCGGGTCGCGGGCGGACCCCCAGGGCCGCCCCCCACCCCACGGCTGCGGTGCCGGCGGAGCGCTGGGAGCCCCAGGGAGAGCAGGGCCGGCGGCCGGCTGGAGCGCCGTCGTTAAGGGGGATTCCCCGATGGGATCGGAGGGGGGGGGGGTGTAACCAGAAGCAGCGAGGGAACCTCTGCCTGGTCAGAGGCACGGGGAGGTAAGCGCGGGCAGCCCCCGCGCTCGGCACGTTGTCAAGCCCTGTGGATGAAGCGGTGTTCATGGGACTGTAGCGGCACTCTTGTTTCTCCAGGCCTTTCTCGCTCTCTTGAAACTGCACTGAACCGAAATTGCTTATTTCTCCAGGCCTCTCTAGCTTCCTAGAGGCTGCACACATTGGATCTGCCTGGTGCTCCTGGAAAAATTTTTGGCCGTGAAATAACACTTAACATGCCATTGCAGGAAACTTGTAATTCAGGACTTGTCTTTCTGTTTTGTTTGAAGCTTGGTGAAATTTTGGTTTTGCTTTCAGTATGCTGCTGGCTGATAAACCCGACTTCTGTGCTGAGAAGCATACTAAATTAATTTCTTTTTGGAGCGTGGGAAAAAGCTACTGTGGTTGGTTTTGCATTTATGGTTTGATGTGTTTTGCCATTCTTTTCCCTAATGATAAAACTGTGCAAATTGCTCTTTCTGATGGATGACATCTGTTGGGTTTGTACCCAGAGATGCTTTTGCTTCCTGTGCTACAAGTGGGGAATTCCAGGGCCGTCCAAACCTGGATCAGAAGTTACACAGAGAAGTTCCCAATGGAGTAGTTGAAATGTTGCTGTAGTTCTTCACACAGATACCAGGTTGCTAAGGGATGTGTCAATCCACAGACAATTTATTCTCTGAAATGTATGTCCTAAAGAAGATGGAAGTTCATCTGACCCAACCAGTCGTACAAGTCTTCGCTACTTTTGGTTTGGTGTTTTTGGTATTGTAAGGTGGGGGGGGGAAGCTCATAAACTTGCCTTTTTTTTTTTTAATCCAGTGTTTTTAATGATGTTGTATAAAGGTGTTGAAATTCGGTTATATTTGTAAAGCATAATTATTTAATTGGATAAGTGGAGTTGGAGTGCAACAGGACAGTTTTATTTGGATCATGAAGCCTTTCTATGTATGTTTTTTGTATTTTTTAGTAGTGTGAAGGTCTTCAGTGTTTGTCCTGCACTTTTGATGGGATCTGTTGTAGTAAGCATTTTCTGCAGTGGTTTGCAGTCCTTGCTGTCAGGCATTCAAAGCTGCTTTTCCAGCTCCCTAACTGGGATGTAAAATCCTCCCTGGTAAAGGAGATGAACCAGAGCAAATACTTTCTACACTGTGAATTTCCGTTTACTAAAAGATGGAGAAGTGTTATTTTGATTTTGTAGTTATTATCCTCTTAACACATGAGCAAAACTGATCTTTGTGCTGCTAAAGCTGTGGCTAAAAGCTGTGACTACAGGTTGGAAAGAGAGGGGTATTCATGAAGAGGAAGACTCGAGTATATGGACAAAATCATCATCTTCCTGTGATCCCATTATTTTTAGCAGTGGGAAGAAGATGGAATAGAAATGTTACTTGTTTGAGCATCAAGAGGTGCTTCAAAACCAGATTCTTCTTGCAGAAAATGAGGTTTCTGAGTGGGATCTGTGGGCTTACAGGGAACAACCTTAAGTGGTAAATGGAGTCATTAGACCTTTCATCTGGGGCTTTGTCCCTCCTTCTGGTGGTGGCTTCTTCTGCCTGATGACCGTAGTCCTGAGTAGAAAAGCTGGCAACTTTTTCAAAGTCTCCTTTTTCTAACAAGCACAGAGAATACCCCTGTGGAGGGCCAGGCACAAGCATGTAAGCATGTTTGTCTCAAACATTCTGCCTGTTGTGCTGTGACAGGAAAGTCACAGCAGTTTGAAGGGAGGGTCCCACGGCGGCAGGGCAGCGCTGCTCTGAGCCGACTTCCCTTTCGTTGCCAGACTTGCAAGTCAGCCTGGAGACATGGGCTCAGTGTGCCTGCGGCAAGAGAAGGGTCAAGTCCCGGGCATCTCACTAAAGGGACCACCACAGACCCCCAACCTCTCAGTTCCTCATTTCCTTACTCATTTCCCGGAGGGCTTGAAAGGGTTCACTGCGCATGCGCAAACAGTAGCACATGGCACAAAAAGTGAGGGCACCTGTTCTAGGGAAACTGTGAAAGGAAGTGGATCGGCCCTGAGCTTCTGTTGACCCCGGATCTGGACCATCTACGGTGGCAGGACAGACGTGGCATCTTTTCCCTTCACTTTCTCTCTTTTCCGTACTCATTCTCTCCTTTCTTGTTTTGTCCCGGCAAGTGCAGCAATCGTATTCTACCTCTTACTCCCTACGGAAGTTCACTGCGAGAACTGGGAGCTTGTTAGCTAACACTCTTAGGCCTAAATAGTGGGCTAGTTGTTGGAGTTAAGGTGGCTATATAACAAAGGATCAGAGTTCCCTGACACTGGACTGGTGTCTTTGTTCAGCCCTATGAGAATTTATAATGAAGATTGTGCCCGCTTCTGGGTCATGACAACCCCTCCTCCTCACTTGAAAAGCATGAGAGGTTTGCTTATGCCTCTCAAGAATGGCTTTTGCTTTAAAGTCTCACTGGAACTGTTGGGCCTTTTGTGAAAGAAAGTCAGGACTGACCTCGCCTTTCTTCTCTGTAGTGAACTGAACTTTCTTTGGATCAGTGGTATTGATTTTATTGCTCTTCTTGTCCTGTGCAGCATGGATCTTCCCTTGCAGCTCTCCTCTTGGCTCCCACATTTTCTATTTCTTTGAGGGGACAGAAACTTTAGTATTTACATCAAAACTGATTAAGAGCTCATACACATGCCTTGTAGTCACAGCAATATTTGATGCACTTTTTTGTGATACATCTTTCAATTTATAAAAGGAACTTTATTACGTATGTGTGAATACGTGCTGTATAATATGGGAGGAATTTATGCAGGGGAAGCATCTTTCTAATTATAGCTCAAAACTAAATGTTTGAGAGCTTTGGCTAATACAAACTGTCACCCATTTTGGCATTTATTAGCTTTTTGTTTTCTAAGAGCGTGCTGTAAGTTACAAGGTGTCTGCATCTGAGAACTTGTCTTTGGTTAGAGGCAAGGGAAGGGCATGTGCTGGGTCCCTTTACTGAGACTTTCCAGTTGGAAGGATTACATGATAAACCTTTCTGTAGGTCCTCTCCACAGGAAGAAATTGCTGAGGCATGGGTGCTGGTGGTGGAGAGAATGGAATTGGAAACAGTGATTGCAGATGAGTAAAAATGGTTAACAGTTTTGTTTCATGATGAATTATCAAGGATTATCGGCAGCTGTTATTTGAAGTATTTTAACTTCATGCTGAATAGCTCAACAGTAACACATTCCCTTGGTTATTTAAAATACTGCAGGAGCAAGAGAAAACTTAATTTTTAAAGTGAGTAGTGACTCTCCTTTGGCCTTGCAAGTAGAGCACAGAAACACATCACACATTCTGTATCAGCAGAAATACTGAAACTGAGCTTTTTCAGTCACTTTGGTCTACAGTAGCAGTGCGTGGGGTTTGAAACTGGAAACTTTGGATGAGTTAAGCAAGTATGGAGTAATCAAATCTTAGCAGGGCGTGTTGGCTGGGTATCTTTTGTGCAAATCAGGTTTCTGTGTATTGCATCAGTGAGGAAAGATGTAAGTCTTGAACTGTTATTATGAGTATGTGAGTTATTTTCTTTCAGAGTCCTTGGTGGGATTGGCAAGCCTTTTTTTTCCAGTTTTTCTAGTTGAAAGTGCAAAAAAAATGTTCTGCTTGAACACTGCACCATTTTTGTGCCTGCCATCTGCTGGCCAGATACCACAGCTATGGGGGACTGGCTGCAAAAACCCTGCTGAGGCTCTGTCTTAAGGATACTGGAGAAAAAAACCAGATCCTTTTCTCACCAAGATGTTTCTCAGATGGAGGTCGGTTTTTGCATAGTCTCCCTGAGGGAGACATAAGTTTTGTGAGTTCTGTTACCATCTTTCTTCTCTTTCCTAGGATATGATGGAACTCCTAGAGGAAGATCTTACCTGTCCCATTTGCTGTAGCCTGTTCGATGATCCTCGAGTCCTGCCCTGTTCACACAATTTCTGCAGAAAGTGTCTGGAAGGAATTCTTGAGGGAAATGTGCGGAACGTGCTTTGGAGACCGTCTCCTTTCAAGTGCCCCACATGCAGGAAGGAGACTCCTGTTGCTGGAGTCAACAGCTTGCAGGTCAACTATTCCCTGAAGGGTATTGTGGAGAAATACAACAAAATCAAAGTAACTCCAAAAATGCCTGTGTGCAAAGTGCACAGTGGACAACCCCTTAACATTTTTTGCCGGACAGACATGCAGCTGATCTGTGGTGTTTGTGCCACCCGTGGTGACCACACAAAGCACGTTTTCTGTTCCATTGAAGAAGCTTACTCCCAGGAGAAGCGGGCTTTTGAAACCCTGTTTCAGGGCTTTGAAACTTGGCGTTGTGGAGATGCCCTCTCACGGTTGGATACCTTGGAAACCAGTAAGAGGAAAGCTCTGCAGATGCTGACCAAAGATTCTGACAAAGTGAAAGAGTTCTTTGAGAAGCTGCAGCACACGCTGGAGCAGAAGAGAAATGAGATTCTTTCTGACTTTGAGACCATGAAGCTTGCAGTGATGCAGGCCTATGATCCAGAGATCAATAAACTGAACACAATTCTGCAAGAACAGCGGATGGCTTTTAACATTGCAGAGGCCTTCAAAGATGTGTCTGAACCCATTATATTTCTGCAACAGATGCAGGAGTTCAGGGAAAAAATCAAGGTGCTCAAAGAAACCCCTTTACCTTGTTCTACTGTGGACATCAGCGCCACAATGAAGAGCTTCGACACCAGCCAGTGGAATGGAATAAAACTAGTTGATGTGGACAAACTTTCCTTGCCTCAGGAAAACAATGCTGGCAAATTCAAGATTTCTTCAGTCTTTTCACGCAGATTTATACTGAACTGGCTTATTTTGTTTACAATTATCTTGTCCTATTTGGCAGATAACGTGGAGATAGCAGATCATGCAGTCTTTTACTGGGAACAGATGACAGATGGAGCTTCACTTTTAAGAGAAAAGTGTAAAAACTATACATTGGTTGTACTGGATAACGTTGCAGAGTTTGTGTGCAAATATAAACTGTTGTGAAGTCCCTGCTGAAATATAAGAACTAAGAGAGATCTGGGGAAGAAAATATAGAACTTCTTAAAATAATTGGTCCTTTAAGACTTCTCGTGAAAACATTCAAAGATTCAAAATGTTGCCAAAACATTCATACTGTCACATAGTTTGAGCACTGATAAACCAGAAGATGAAATGGGGCTTTGAAAAACACTTAACTTCTGGATTCTTCTTTCAGTCGTGATTATGGGAATATTATTCACTGTAAATCATTTTTCTTACCAAAATACAGGGCTGAACTGTGTACTTAGTTCAGTGTTAATGTAATTGTAGAATAAGATAAAAGATCTTAGTTTAAAATATATTTTTTTCTAACTCGTAGGTCATTTGGTAAGAGGAAGAGCAGTTGTGGTTGAGGTCAGTGCTGTACTGACAGGCTTGCTGAGGACTGCCCTTCCTCTGCAAAATGCAGTGTGCGTCATTCACAGTCTAGAGCCACTTTGTGTCTGACAATGTATTTCACTTCTCACTGAAACAGCTGTTTGGTGGGGTTTTTTTTGTATAACCAAATGTTGTAATTATCTTGTGCATTCAAATTATGCGTTCTATACAAAAATGTGTCTTCAGGGCAAGCATAAGTTCTAGAGGTAACGAGAAATCACTTGAGGTTGATAAGAACAAGCTGCAAGATAGTTTGTACTTCGCAGATAGTACGTACTTTGCAGTTTACTTTTCCAGCATGGAATTGTTGGGGTAACTGAGCTGTTTTCTGAGATCCATGTTTCTCTGAAGCCCCACTTTCTTAAAAAGTGGCCTTAACCTAAACAGTTTAGTGCAGTGAAAGGCACACAGGGATCTGCTGCAGGAAGGCAGCTTGAGCTTTAGCCCTGCAGAGGTGGCAGGTAGAGCAGTTTCTCTCCTGTCCCTCTCTTTCTCCCCTGATCATAATACCAAAAGCCAGGAAAAATGATTGGATGGTTCCTTGAACAAGTTGTGTCATGTAACAAGTGTATGGATATTGTTGATCTTTGAAGTGCTTTAGCGTTGGAACTTAGATAGGTTCTTCTGCTGTTACTGTATTTTTGTGTATCTTGTTTCAGGAGTTAATTGAATTTTCTGGGTGTATTGACTTGGCCTTAGGATGTGATTTAAAGTGAACCTTAAGCTTGAGTTCTCTGAAGTGCCCTTCTTTAGGAGCATACAGTACTGAAATGTCTCGCTTGAAGCACATCTAACCTCTTTTTGCAGTGGTCTTATGAACAGCAGTGTATGGAATGAACTATTGAGTTGACATTTACAGAAAACAAACGTTAACGTGTGCCATTCTTTGGGAATAGTCATTTGCCTCTACAAAGGTTTAATAAGTTGTGACGGTCTATTCACTGTATTCCAGTAGTCCTTTCAAGCTGTTCATTTCAAAAATAAAACATTAAATTCCAAGAATCAAAGTTTCCAAGCAACCAAACCCAGCAAACAAAACTATTGTACATGATATTTACGTCTTTGTTGCCTGGGAATCCTGTTGCTGCTCCACACCTCACTCTAAACACTTGCAAAACCCACTCACTGGTTCTTGCAGCTGCAGCTGCCTTGCAGTTTAGGAAAGATCAAGTCACAAACATGTAGATCAGAGAGTTATGATTCCTGAGTGGCTGAGGCAGCGATGAGTAATCAAGAGGTGGTCGTTCTGAGCGTGGGAGGTGTGAGATATGTAACCCGGGCTTCTACCTTGCAGCAGTTCCCTGAGTCCAGGCTGGCACGGATGTTGAACCATGATGACGGGGAATTCAAACTGGTGAATGGAGAATTTTTTGTGGACAGAGATGGAGCTTTGTTTAGTTACATCATGGACTTCTTGAGGACTCTACAGGTCTCCTTACCGACAGATTTCTCAGACTATCAGAGGCTGCGGAGAGAAGCAGAATTCTATGGACTCCACCCCCTGGCTGACCTCTTGAGCCAGGAACACTTGCTAAAGCCGAGGCTGGAGATCTTGGAAGTGCGTTTTTCTCTCCAAGAAATGCAGGCCTTCTTCCGGATCTTTGGTTCCTGCAGTACCACTGTTGAGGCACTAGCTGAGCAGATCACTGTGTTTACAGGGCAGCAGTCAGGACAGAGCTGGAGCAGCCCTTTTCCTTCTCAGAAAACACTCGTTCCACTCCCTTTGGAAAGACCTTCTCATCACGACGTGGTTTTTCAGTGTGGTACTGAGTACTCTGCTGGGGACCAGTTTGTGGCAAGGTACTCTCCTCGTGTGACTTCTCGTTATGGCGATGTCTTTGTGACTTCTAGTTCAGGTAGCGCACCCTGTGTGCTAGCAAAGCTCGTTTTAAAGAAACTGAGAGAAAAGAATTATGTTTCCTTAATTCTGCTAGTTTAATGTTATCTTTTTCTAGTTTTGAAACACCTGGTTTAATTTCTGTTACACCGATTTGCCTGTTCTTCAGCTTTCTAAAATATTGCTGATGTTTGTTTATGAGTTTGTTGGGTCTTTCTGTCTGCCCTTTCCTCCTCACTTGCTTTAAAATTTCACAGCATCAATTACCTTTTAGAGGACATGAAAAACAGAGTAAAATGAAGCAAAGGAGACAAAGTAAAGGAGCACAGTACTGGGGGGAAGCCTAAAATCTCCACTAGCTCATGGTCTAAAAGGCTTTCATATGGAAAAGAGGAAAAAGAGAGTGTCTAAACAGGGTTAAAAACATCAGTGAAACCAAGATAGCATTTCAGGGACTGGAGAGCTTTTGTAGAGCCTTTTACTGGGGGAAGGGAGAAGGGGTAGATTATTAACTATATGCTACATAGTGGGTTTTCTTTGAATTCAGAGCCAGGTTCTGTTTTTATTAAGATTACTGTATATCAGTAACTTTTGTGATAGCAGTATCATATTCTAATGACAACTTACATTTTTAAACAAGCTTTTGCTGGATGTCTCTACTGTATGGAGGCATGTTCTTGCTATATATGAAAATGTAACCTAATTTGTCCTCTGTGGCTGTTAGAACATCTGGAATTTTATGGAAATTTCATTGAAATAGTTCCAAAAGGGTTATTCTATCTGACTATATGAACCAACACAGCAGTTTTTTGATTATTTTTAAAAGAAAATAAACTTTTCCTTTCTTCCAGCTTTCTTTGGCTAAGCAAGTAGAAGCAAAACTACTCTGCATTCATGAAGCAGCATATATTTGTGTGCCAAACCTTAACTTTGTAATGTATTACTAATTTTAGTGGACTAACAATTGGTTGAGTAGGTTATGGCAACTTAAATAGTGAGGAAAATATTTCTGTTTGTTTCTTTTATTTCTTCAGACTTGGTAAAAATTTTCCTCTGCAGATCAACAGAAAAGCTTATCTTGAGTGATGAAACAGGTCAAGTTTGATTATGTTGCTTGCTGAATTTCTGTCTTAATCTTTGTGGTGACATGGATTCTCTTGCCTTTTTTTGTGCTTTCCACAAATATTTGGTGTACTTCCCTGTGAACTGTGAAACAGTTTCACCCCTGTCAGCTTATATATTTTGTAATAGTATCTTTACCTGGCTTCTGTTCCTCAAAATGTCTGGGTAGATTCTTACACTGTACTTTATATCAAGTAGAATTTTATGCAATGTGAAAATGATTTTCATACCTGTTGCCACAAGACCTGCTGTACCAGGTAACTTTGCAATAAATGTCACTGTTTGTAGAGAGAGATCCCGTGTGCTGGAAAGTGATGCTCTTGGGGTGAACGGGGATTCACTGACCATCATTTACTCTTACCTGAAAAACAGTTGCAGCATTAAATAGAGCCTGCCACTCCCCTCTCCTCCATTAAGTGAAACCAGATGGAGGTTGTCACAGCTATTTTCTTAAGAAAGTAAGTTTGGGGAGAGGATAGGAAGGGCGTGTGAAAGAGAAGTGCTTCTTCCTTGACATGTAATTGGATGAACTGAGAATTACTGTTAATGAAGGAAGGAAAGGAGTTAAAAAATATCCAGAACCTTGGTTGCTGTAAACACGTGGGGCTGTGCTGACCTGCACTGTCAAGAAGTGTTAATGTGTTTTGGTAACTGCCTTTTTTTGTTTTCTGATTTTAGGTATGTTTCCATAAAGCCTGATAATAGGAAGCTGATTAATGGTACTAATGTGCTAGGCCTGCTGTTTCACACTTTACTCAAAGATGGATTTCGCCTCATAAGTGCCAGGACAGTGGCCAGTGAAGAAAAGGTTGAATGCTACAGTTTTGAAAGGATGAAGAGGCCATCAGGCCTTACTGTCATGGTGAACCAAACCCCAGGGAGCTCTGGGGTAGCACAGGCAAGGAGAGGCCAAATGCAGAAAGGGAAATAAAGGCTTTTCCTTTCATCTTTTGAGGTGGAAGAAGGGTGTGTCAGCACTAGCGGCCTTTTTTTGTTGACTTGTTTGAAACTGCGACTATTGAGGGAAGTAACAAACAAGCAATTGGAAAAAAATTGCTTTCCTGCCTTTCACTGCTCCACCCTCTTCAACTCTAAATAAAAGAACCACGGATTAAATACTGGGTTTGTGGACCAGATTCCAGCATTTTCAAGGGTTGTTTTTGTTTTTCTCTGTGGCTAAGATTTACATAGGGACTCAAAAAGCATCAGCCATTTCTTCTTGAAAATAATTTTTATATTCTGTGCTAATCTGTAAGTAGATTTTAAGAACATTGTAATACGTGAAGAAATAACAGCTTGACACAACTGTCATCCCAACAGTTTGGAGAAGTGGCTGGAGGAGGAATTCAAACCTCAATGATTGATGATTGCTTCTCCTTCTCACTGAATCTCTTGCAATTATCTGAGAGCAGAGTAACGGGAAGATCCCGAGTTGTGCTGCTGTGTGGCTTTGTGAAGCCATCACCAGGCTCTGTGAAATAACACAATACTGTCTCTTGTAGAATACTCCTCTGTCCTCCTCCCACTCTGAAGGCATTAAGCTGTTCTTCAGTGCTGAGACTTAAATGATAAAGGTCTTTGTGAGCAAAGGGTCAGCTAATTTCTAGAGCTTTAACCATAAAAAGGATGAAAATGCGATAACGGGTCCTTCAGATGGAAGAGTTAGTACAGTTTTAAATAAAATAGTACAAAGGATTTCCTAATGCTTGTCAAATGCAACACAATTAGAAGGAAGGCTTGGCAGCAGTGGCTTTAAAAATCTTGAGAATCTTAGCCCTGTATAAAGATTTGTAAAGATGCAAAATTAGCTCAGGTACTGGGAGAGGTAAGTTAACGAGGCTTTATAAATTAAGAATCTTTTGCCTTCCCTTCAAGAGAGGGAAAGAAGATAGCAGTAACTTCAGGGATCAATTATTTGCATCTGGCTTTTGTTGTTGGTAAAACACCATCTTTCCAAAGCTATAAACAGCCTAGTAGAGCTTGTTTGGGCTATCTTGGCTGACCATAGAATGACAGAATATGCTGAGTGTGAAGGGACCCCTCAGGGTCATCAAGTCCAATTCCTGGTGCTGTGCAGGACACCCCAAGGATCCCACCATGTCCCTGACAGCATTGTCCAAATGCTTCTGCCTGCAGAACTCTGTCAGGCTTGGTGCTGTGACCGCTGCCCTGGGGAGCCTGTTTCAGTGCCCAGCCAGTCTGGGTGAAGAACCTTTTCCTGGTATTTAACCTAAACCTCCCCCGACTCAGCTTCATGCCGTTCCCTCAGGTCCTGTCACTGGTCACCACAGAGAAGAGATCAGGGCCTGCCCCTCCTCTTCCTCTCATGAAGTAGACTGCAATGAGGTGTCCCCCCAGTATCCTCCAGGCTGAACAGACCAAGTTCCTCACATGACTTCCCCTCAAGGCGCTTCACCATCTTTGTTGCCCTCCTTTGGACACTCTCTAATATCTTAATATCTTTCTTATATTGTGGTGCCCAGAACTGCACACAATATTCAAGGTGAGACTGATTAGGTCTGGCTTTTCATTAGCTTTAAAATGTGAATGCATTACTTTATTTGCAACAGTTAATAATGAGGGTGGGTGGTAGGACTTACCCATATATTTCTTGCCCTGAGGAGTTTCAATTAAATGGATCTTCCCAGACTAGCAGCACCACTGTCAGATGTCTCTTTTCTTGGGCTACCACTGTAGGGCATTTTAGCTTGACAAGTTCAGAAGTTCAGTGGAAACAGTTGATGTCCTCTTTGCTTGTTTTAGAGCTTTCTGTGTTGAGAATACTGTGATTATGGGACTACATCTCCTAAGATGCTTATGGGTTATATAATGTAATAAATTTTGAGGAATGAATGCTTTCACTTCAAATGGAATTTTTTTTGTCAATAATGTCAATATGTTAATATTTGTCTTGAAGTAAGACATTTCCTACAGTGAGAACCATCATTCACTGGAACAACCTCCCCACAGATGCAGTGGAGTCTCCAATGCTGGAAATTTTGAAGAGGATGCTAAATGATTCCACCGGGGCTCCCTTTCCCATGAAAGGCTGGACCAGATGATCTTTTGAGTTCCCTTCCAGCCTGACCTGTTCTATGATTCTGTGGAGACCTTCTCTGAAGGTCTGCATCAGAAAGCCTGTCATGGTGGGCTTTGAAGTCAGCCTGCTGATGGCAGCATTCAGGTGACACAGCTGTGTGGGTGACTGTCCCCACAGGTTGCTCTACTACAGGGATGACACTCCTTGTATGAAAACAATAATGTTGAGTATTGAGTGAGTCATTGACTGTGAATATTGTTGGTGGAGAAACTTGCCAATAATAATGAGAAACACAAGACAAAAAGTGATAACTTTTAATGGAAAAAGTTAAAAAAATGGACTTGAGGCTGTATTTAGACATCATGCCCTAAATGACCGATGATAGTAGCAGTGTAAACTAAGTGAGACTAGTTTCTGAACCTCTCATAGTAACAGTTACACTATTTCATCTACCACAAGAATATTGACTTTATTTTCCTTGCTGTAGCAGCCACTAGGAAAATTGAGGTTTGGATTACTTTTTTTATAAATAAAGTGAAAGAAAATATGAAATATTTCCATTTTTAAAAAGCCCTGGAGTTTTAACCTATGGCATCACCCATGGTCCATGGCTTGGCAAAATGAATATTTGGTACAACCATTTCAGTAACAACTTATGATGGGCTAATGCTGAACACTTTTTTGTTCCCCTCAGGGATTAATTTTTATTCAGCACAAACATCATTCTATGAATGCATTATTTTGGCTCTGGAAAAATATACCAGTGCAATTTCCTGTCATATAAAGGAGTGTATGTGCTTTACCTCGACCTTGGGTAATGGCATACTGTGAGACTGCACGTCTTTTTGAAGTGAAACACATGACTGTCAGCAAGCTTGGATTCCCAGAGTTCTCCTAGCATTTACTCTTACTTAGCAATGAACTGTGAATTGTCACCTTCTGTCACTTGTGTGCCTGCAGAGAACATGACTAGGCTCTTATACAACACTTCCATTTTGTTGTTTTTTTTTTTTTTTTTAACTGATAGTTGCTTAAATAAGTTTGAGAGCATGTGTGTGTGTGTGTGTGTGTGTGAAGAACCTCATAGAAATGTGTTGTAACCTATACTAGTAGGATAACTATGACTTTAATTGACGATTAATTGAATTAATTAATTTAACTGAAGCTGGTTCTTCAATGGAATGCACCTTCCTGGATTTCTTTATACAGAAAATGAAAGCAGTGATGGTAGAGCTACAGGTGTTGTGTAGCTTCAAGCTACAATTAAATAACAGTAATCATGGAGGAAGGGGTGAAATTATGTTCATTTGCAGACAAGTTAATATAAAAGTAGCATCGATTTACTAGGAGGATCTTCAGCTGGCCTCCACCTTGCATGATCATTTATGCTACTGCAAAGCATTGCTGAGCCAGGATGACAGTTTTTCTGTGCCCTCTTTGAAGTGGTATGCAGTGTAACCTGCAGGCACTAGGGCAGGAATTTAGTAGTGGCCAATGTTGTTACTGCACCTTCTGTTCTGAGGTCCCAAAAAGCAGGGATGCAGCAGAGAGCAGACCATGTGGTATGCACTCAGCAGAGTGGTTCACACTGGTACATTTGCAGAGAAGGGAACAGCTGTACAAGTAGAAGTGAGTTTGGCTGATGGGAACTACGAGTCTGAGTGATTCTAAAAGCCTCTTGGTCAAAACCAGATTATACGCTAAACCGAGTACTTTCACCCAGATCTTGGCAGGCAAGATTACTCTGATACCACACAGCACAATCTCTGTTAGACTAGCAGCATGTTGTAGGTGACTTGGTCATGCTTTTACATGTGAGAAAGCCAGAAGCTCTGATTGCTCACATCTACTCTATTTTTGATTAAATAGGAATGGGATTTTGACACATTTAGACTCCTTTTTCCAATGACGAAATTTGTTATCTCTGACATGATCCAGTTCTTCAAGTCATTGCCAACTTTCTCAAGAGAATTCCTTTTTTTTTCCTGGGAAGATGCAAAATTTGCTGATTTCAGTAAATTTAACTGAGGTATTTGCCTTTTTATTACTCCGTGGATTCAGCAGAAATGTGCAAACTGTTCCACTGTCCGAGATGCCAGAAAGGGACTGCTGCGGTGTTGGGGCAGCCCCCTCGCTCACTCACAGCAAGCAGTGAGCTCTCTTTGGCTCTGTACCAGGCAAGCAGACTGCCAGAGCAGTAAACAGATCACTAGAGGGAAAGGGAATCCAATGGGAAGATAACACCATCATCCTGTCCCACACGGACAGCAGTTTACATGGCAGAAGCAGATCATCTAAGAAGAGGTGACAGCTTGGTGGATTTGCAAATGGCGGATGATTGAGAAAGACAACACCTCATTTGCTTCATATTTTTGTATTTTAATCACTTTTCCCTCCTTTGTAGTTGGATTGCATCCTGTATTTCTATGTTCAAGACTGTCAAGGACTTTACCAGCACAATCTTATGGTGCCTGTTGGATATCCCAGTGCCATAGAGGCACCACACCTTTTCCATCTTCCTGTTCTTGTACTGTGATGATTTCCTTTTGTAGTGAATTGGTTAAATTTTTTGTGCTTTTAAGTAATTTTTTATCTGCATCTTCACACAGTGGAAAGTTCTCTTGTGTCCTTCTTATCTGTTCTGGGGACCTACCATTTATTTACCACCTGAATTGTTCAGTAATCTGCTGATACCAGTAAGGAGAGAGTCTGTTGTGAAATACCTTTTTGTTCTTTGAGTATTGATTTCAATATGACAGTTCATGGAGGTTTTTGTTTCTTTGGGAAGTGCAGTCAGTGCATTCTTACAGGTTCTGTAGCCAGTGTTCATGTGAATGTATAATTGATTAAGAATAGATGTTTAAATAAAGGTATTAAAATCGATACTATAGACTGAGATACTATTTAGATTAAGACCGATCTCTTTGTTCTGGCCACAGCACTGGGAAATTTTCCCCTTAACTAAATAATTCCAAACCACTGACTTTCATGGAAATAGTAGAAGACTACTCTCTAAGATGCTGTATATGAGGAATAATAGCCACAGGGTGAAAGAATGATGCTGGAGTAATTGTATCACGCCCAGGGGTAGTTACTTCTGTTAACTTTGGAGAAACTTTTCTGCACACTGGGCTGTTCCTACTTTCTACCTGTTTTGGTTGTTTTCTAGCTTTCCAACGCTCAACAGTAACTCCTTTAATCTGAGCAGAGCAAGGCTGATGTGCTTTTATCTGTCTCTGAAGTGGGTAAGTCTAAGGTGTATTCCAGTTCAGTACCAGAAAGCCACCAAAGTGGATCAGAAGCCCTGTTTGAGTTCACAACGAAGCATTCATAACTTTGAATATTTTTTTTTTTTTAAATTTGTTCTCAGATTGCTGGAAAGTGTTACTGAATATTCACTGAGAAACAAGCTGGGAGTTATCCAAGAGGAGGAGGGAGGCTCATTGCTTCTTACTCTTTCCCTCTGATTTGTGCTGAACCATTGCCAGGCTTTAACTTTACAAGGTTTATTTTTATCGATTTTCAACAATAAACAGAGGGAATATCTTCAGTAAAAGATTTACAGTGCATCACGAGGAAATAAAACTCCCTACCAAATATCATATTGATCTATTCCCAGATGCTACTGAAACAGCAAATAAAAGCTCAAATGAAG